CACGTCCCGCGTCGTCCCCGCCACCGGCGACACGATGGCTGCCGGACGCCGGCCTGGCGGGGGGGACGACACGACACAGGGAACGATGCTGGGGACCCCCCTGTCCTTGCAGCGTCAGGGACAGTGGCTGCCGTCCCCAGGGAAGGGGAACCTCGTCCAGGCTGTGAGCAGCCCCCCCGCGCCCCACTCACAGAGCAGGTTGAGCAGGCTGCTCTTGCCCACGTTGGGGGGGCCGGCAATGACGGCGTGGACCCCCCCGCGGAGCAGCTCCCCGCGGCGCCCGTCCTGCAGGTGGGCACCGATCTCCTGCTCCAGCCCCCGCACGGTGGCATCCACTGCGGGGAGAGAGAAGGGGGACGTGGCAGGAGGGGACAGCAGGGACAGGGTGCCACAGCCCCCCCGCCACCCTGCCAGCCCTCACCTTGGGATAAGACCTCTTCCTCCACGTTGTCATCCTCACTGAAGTCGATATAGGCTTCAAGGTGGGCGAGAGCCTGGGGACAAGGAGGGGGTCAGCGGGGACAGCCCGGCCCCGTGTCCCCAAGCCACCCATGCGCCAGCGGAGGAACCCAGGCAGCGGGATCCAAGCCCGTGCCCCACCACCCTTACCTGGGTGAGGGTCTCACTCCAGCGCTGGTAGAGCCGGCCCAGGTCGCCCTCCATCTGCCGCAGCGCCTGCCGCCGCTGGGCCTCCGTCTCCGCCCGGATCAGGTCCCCCAGCCCCTCGGCCGCCGTCAGGTCCAGCTTCCCGCGGTGGAAGGCTCGGCGCGTGAACTCCCCGGGCTCGGCAGGACGCAGCCCGGGCAGGCGCCCTGCCAGCCCCGGGGTGAGCCCCCCTCCCCGAGCTGGGGCCACCCTCTGGCAGCACCCCGGGGGCCAGGACCCGAGGGGAGGGGGGGAGGAGAGACAGGGGGAGCCTCACCCAGCGCCCGCAGCACCCCGCTCACCACCGCCGGCCCGCCATGCACGTGCAGCTCGGCGCAGTCCTCCCCGGTGAAGCTCTGGGGACCTGCAGAACCAGGACACAGCTTGTACGGGCACCGGCTGAGCCCACCGCTGCGAGCTCGCCCCCGGCCGGCTCCGGCACACCCCATCCCTTCCCCTCCCGTGGCAGCATGCATGCTTCGACCCCACAGAGGCTTCTGGGGGGGTCTGGAGAGACCCCCTGCTAGAGCTGTGCTGCAGCTATATACGATCAGCGCAAAGGGGCCAGTGTTGAGCCGGGACCATCCCCACCGGCATCCGCACTTAGCCGGATTCACGGTGTCAGGGAAGCCAAGAGGGGCTGAGCCCTGCCTGTACTGGGCACCGAGACCCCCACCAAGCACCAAGACCCCCCACCAAGCACCGAGACTTGATGCCACCCCCACCTGGGAACCAGACGACGAGGCCGCGGTCCAGGGGCTCGGCGGT